CGCCACTTCCATTTGGATCATCGTTGTCATTGTTATTTTCATCGCGATTATTCCCATTACTTTCATTCTGACCAGGCGTCCATTCATCACCAACTAACCATTCGGCCCCAAGCTTTTGAAGAGCTCTGTAAATGCATCCAATCGCTTCAAGAGGTTGATTTCGAGATCGGATTCCAAATTGCCATTTTGTGGGCTTTGATTTCTTCGATGGAACTGGAGTCATACCTGCTGGTTTCTTGCCTTCATCGAGTTTCGCCAGAGTTCTAGAATGTGGATTTAAGCGGCGAACTGTTTCGGCTTTTTCAGCGTCGGTTTGAGGAGATGGTTCGATGGCCTCTGAGTGAGATGTTGACAGAGTACTCTCCTGATGACCAGATTTGTGCGTTTCCATAAACTCTTTATGGTATTGTGGAATACTGCTTGGCAATATTCCAATTTTGCTAACATAGGGTCTACCAAATGATCTATCAGTTCCAATAGAACTACTAGATCTCGGTGATACGGCATCAAGGAGGGGGCTAGGTCGAGCCTGAAATGGCACGACTGCTGGTTGAATGTTACCGGGTCGCTCCTTAATGGCAACCGAAGGTGAATTAGGTAATGAGGGAGGAATTGCTGAGTCGTAAGCTGGAGGTGAAGGGATCTGGAAGAGAAGTTGATTTTTATCATCGAGGAGATTTGCTGGTTGACTGTTAATTTATACCCAGAATAGAATTTTGAAGTAATGGATAACTTACGATTAGCTTGCATCAACTTGTTCTCTCGAACAATAAGATACGCATCTTTGATGGCCGAGGGTTCTTCCGCAGCCAAAGCCTCTTGAACATCTTTGATACCATAACCCATTGTCTTACTAATTTTCTCAGTAACTTGCACATGTAATTTCTCCTGAATGGCTGGGCTGGCATGAGGTGCAATTGCTCGAGGATTGATAGCTTTTGCGGGGTCGACACCTGTATCAATGAATTCTTCCACCGGAGGTTGCAAATAAGCAGGTAGATTTGTAGTGAACCAAGGATCATCTCGAATATCGGCAATGGTAGCTCTGTAGACCGGATTGACTGCCAGCATCTTCTTAATCAACGCGGCAGCTTCACGACCCATATAACTAGGGACATTGTATTGACCCCTAGCAATTTTCGCAAATAAAGAAGGAATATGTTCATCGTCGAAAGGTAATCTTCCCACAAGTAAAACATATAATATGACACCACAACTCCAAACGTCGACCTCGGGACCAGCGTATAATTTTCCATTAATGACTTCGGGTGCGGCATAATTTGGACTTCCGCAACTTGTTTTGAGAAAATTCCCATCCGTCATAATGTTACTAAGTCCGAAATCGGCGATTTTGACATTCAGGTTCTCGTCGAGAAGAAGGTTTTCGGGTTTTAAATCTCGATGTACGATCTTATGTCTATGACAATATTCGACTGCGCAGATAATTTGTTGGAAAAATCGCCTGGCTTCATCTTCCCTCATCTTTCCGTGTTGTACGATATAGTCGAATAACTCATTGCCGGCATATTCCAGAACCATAATAATCTCGGAGGTTGTTTTAATGACGGTATATCTGGGAAAGTATAGTTAGCTAGCAAGTAAACAAACCTGACGTGGGCAGTCCTCACAATTTGATAATATGAGGATGTCTCAACAGCTGAAGGTATTCGATTTCTCGCTCCACTCTCCCAGCCATATCACGACTGATCAACTTCCTCCTTCCGATAATCTTCAACGCAACCTGTTGACCTGTCACTCGATGGACCGCCAATTTCACCTTTCCAAAGGAACCCTCTCCGAGCGTGCGTATGACTGAGTATGCGCCTACTCGCTGCTCCGTCTTCCTTTGTGGTGCCGGCACGGTTTCCATCCTCCTGCTGTTTCCATTTTGCGAATCACGACGGGAGTGTGAGCCGGCGTCCGAGGCTCTATGTTGTGCGCGAGCGTTTGCAGATGGAGCCAGAGATATCTCGAGCTCGCCGTCATCGTAACGATTCATGACTACGTTTATAGGGTATTTCAATGTGGTTGAATGGTGGTTTATTGACTCGGGGTAATTGTTCCGTTGTCGTTGCGTCAACCCCACCAAAGATGATTTCTGGTGGCTTTCAGCAGGTCCTTGGTTGATACAAGCTTCGAATCAAATGTGAATCACTTGTTGTGAGTAATGGTTGAGGAGTCAGAAGCAAACCTTAAGAGTCAGAAATATTGTCAAGGGTATAAGAATTATTGAGTGAATAATAAGTTGAAAGAGTCTTCTGTTGAGATTCGAAAAAATTGAGAAACCTTATGAGGGAAAAGATGAATTGTGGTTCCAGTGCTCAACCAGAATCCGACAGAGGTGGTCGATGCGGGAAGCTCTAGGTAGGTAGTTTTAGCGATATCTGGGGAAGTGAAGGGGATCGTGGTCGTATTTAGTGTCAGGGGGAGGAGAAGAAGTAATCATAGGAGGGAGGGAGGTGAGTTCTGGAAACTGATATATATTTATATAATTGTCCGATATACTTCATGTCATGAGGAGATAGAGGTAATGTTGAGATGATAGTGCTCGAGTATATAATTTTAATGGTATTTTTCTACAGGATCATTCATTCACACGAGCTCTTCACTCTGTCGACCATTGAGACGCAATTCACGAGGTAAAATCCCAACCTATGTATAGTGTCAAATCATCGACAAGTATCATAGAGCAACTAATTCATACCAATGACTTCATATGAAGTATTAGATACCTACATCTTAGCCTTGAGCATAATCTACATAGTAGCTGACGTGTATCGGTACGAATTAGCGATGTGACAGAGTTGTGACGAAATTCGAAGAAAGGAAACCAACCTACCGGCACCTAGGCACCTAGCAATCAACTCTCAATTGCAAGTGAATTTGGGAAATCTTGGGAACGTTAGTCTCGTCATATACTGAGAGTTATATACACCTCCTCTACTATGACGGCGGTGTTTATTATCATCATCTTGTTCTCCTATGTGATATAATTCAATCGATTTCCACATCATACACTCGTTTTGCGACTGAGCATCCGATGTAAAGTTACTGATTATTGAGTAACTCAAATCTATACAACTCCTACAACATTACCAAATACCATCAATCTTCTCTACAGTATTTGCCAAACCCAAAAGTCCAAAGAATGGTCACAATTATACTATAAATCCAGAAAAGTATCAAATTCCCACTCCCAAAAAGATACCTACCTACCTGCACACCAGCCCTGTCCCGCTTACTAATCCTCCTCAAGCTAATTTCCTAATCGAGCAATCCACGCCCTGCTTGATATCTTATCGAAAAATTAAATACTTCACATGCCCAGCTCTCACCCCTCACCCCTCACCACCAATAAACATCTCCTCATCATCCAACAAAAATGTTACTCTCAACCTCTCGCGCATTGCCGCACACATTGCGCGCAATCACTCGATCGCACACAGCTCCATTTTCCAATATACGACGCTCAGTCTCAACATTAACGGAAAATCCTCATATTGTTTGTTACCCCTCCTCATTCTCAAATCTCCCCCCCTTCTCCTCCTCTTCCCCTCCCCAGCCCAATAAATCCAAAGTCCTTCTCCCCACCCCCAACCCAACAAAGCTAACCCCCTCACTCCTAGTACATCCACCCACCCAGCTCTTCCTCCCCCCAAACCCACACTCTAACCCTCCTCCCCACCACCCCACCAACCCCATCCCTCTCCCTCGGCACCACCACCACCCTCCCCATCACCCCTCAATCCTTCACTCCCAACCCCCAATTCCTCCCCTTCCTCTCCACCATCCTCCAAAAATACGCCCATCTAGACCCACAACTCCATTCGCAAGCCGCCGCCTTCGCCACCACCACGACTCATTTCTCCCTCTCACCCCCGTCATCCTATCGTCAAAATAAAGGCGGCAAGTCCGCAAAGGGAAAAGACTCCGGAGCGCCACCTAGTGCAAGTCAAGGTATTTTCTCCAATATCCTCTTCATCCCATCTACCACAAACTACCCCTCCCCTTTCCCATTCCCCCAAGCCCATAATTAACCCTCCTCCAAGGCGGCGCCGGCTCCGGCGGCCACGGCGGCTACATCCACCTCTCGGATACGCGCGCACCCCCCGACTACGGCCGCATCGCCTACCCGGAAGACATATTCGGATCTCTCGAAGTCGACGCGACCGGACAATTCGTCGAAGGAGATTCTGGGAAAGCGCCCGGAAATTGGCAAGACTCAGGAACCTACCGCATCGTCACGCGTGAGGGGATCTTCGGATTACCGGATTTCTTGAGGGGGAAATTGGTGGAGGCCTTGAAGGAGGAGGAGAAGAAGATTAATGGAAACTAAGTTAGAGAGTGAAAGTAATATGGATGTGAAAAAAAGGACTGGAAGGGAGGGGATGAGGATTATATCTGACGGGGTGGTTGGGTTGGACTATGAGACATCTCTGAAATTGACGAGAAGGAAAATAGACAAGGGTTATGAATGATAAATTTGGTCTACATTGACATATGGAGGGATGCAGAAATGGAGGCATGAAAGCACGACGAGAAACGTGCATAGATTGACGGATGGTTGGCGATGATGATGCGCGCCAGTATGTATATTATGTATTATGATTATCACGCGACTCTCTACTCCATAGCCATACTATACTATAATGAGGATCTATCTGGGGAAGGAAAATCCGGAGAAGTTGTGGGGTAAATACTACAGTGAGATTAGATTATCCCCAGCTTTAGCTAAAGACAGGGCCGGGTGGATAGGTATGGGCACAGGCCAGCATGTCAAAAAGTATCAAAAGTATCACAGTGATAGAGAAAAGAATAAATGTCATCTGAGTTTCATTCTCTCCCAGTTAGGTCAACCATCTAAAAAGTAACCATCTCGCAAACTTAAAAGCAAGATCGACCAGAAGGATTTGACCTTCAAAATGCAACAAAAATAGACCTTGTCGCCAAGCCATTATCAACTTTCTCCCACCCAACCATTGTTACGCGCAAAAAACAATCTATTTCTTAACCTCAGTACCATCGAGTCCACCGAAAATCTAGAACTTGGTTAGTCTAATTCATTTGCCACTTGATTAGAAATCAAACTTACAGTCTCCATCATAATACCAGTGATTTGATATGGGTCGGCATTTGAAGCGGGTCTTCTATCCTCAAAGTAACCGTAACCCTTGGCACCACATTCTCTTGGAATACGAATGGATGCACCACGGTTGGCAACACCATAAGTGAAACTGTCGATAGAACCGGTCTCATGTCTGCCAGTAAGACGCATGGCGTTGTCATCTCCGTAAACTGCAATGTGCTCCTTGTGGCGACCCTCAAGCTTCTTGATAGCGGCCTCAATGTGCTTCATGCCTCCCTCTACACGCATCTCAGCACTTGAGAAGTTGGAGTGGAGGCCAGCACCGTTCCAGTCACCTGGAATTGGCTTGGGGTGGAAAGAGATCTTGGCGCCAAATTCCTCCGCGACACGGTTCAGGAGGAAACGAGCCAACCAGAGGTGGTCACCCACTAAAACAAGAGTCAGTGATTATTGAGATTAATAATGGAAACAGGGGGTACCCACTTTCAATACCATCGCAAGGACCAACTTGGAATTCCCACTGAGCTGGCATAACCTCGGCGTTGGTACCAGAGATCTTGATGCCAGCATTCAAGCATGCCTTGTAGTGAGCCTCGACAATATCTCTGCAGAAAACCTTGCCAGTACCAACACCACAGTAGTATGGGCCTTGAGGACCTGGGAAGCCATTTACTGGCCATCCGTAAGGTCTATCGGACATATCGAGGAGAGTGTACTCTTGCTCCAAACCGAACCACGGCTCGTGGGACTTGTGTGCCTCCATGAGCTTGGCAGCCTCATGACGGTAGTTGAACTTGTTTGGGGTTCCATCAGGATCCCAGCACTCGGTCAAGACCAAGATGTTTGGGGCACCACGGAATGGATCTGGGAAGATTGCGACGGGGCGGAGGTAGACATCTGAGTTGTCACCGGGGGCTTGACCTGTTGAACTACCGTCGAAGTTCCATTCTGGGAGATCGTCAAGAGTGAATTGACCGCTCTCTGGGATCTTGGTGAGAGTCTGTAAATAGAAAAATTACATTAGTACATGACTCATCTGAGGGAATTTTGGGGGGAATTTTTGTTGAGGATTGAGTTGGGGCGCAAAGCCGCGGGTATGTGTGTGTGATGGATCCATGTGCTTACCTTTGACTTGGAACGGGTACCGCCAGTGGAATCGATCCAGATGTACCTTTGTAAAGGATTAGATTTTGAAAGAGGGGAAAGACGTATTCCATTAATTAGCTTACTCTGCCATGGCAGATCCCTTCTGGTCGAGCGCCATGTATTTCATGAGCTATAATGTAGAAAAGTAACGGTTAGTGATCTGTTCTGTTTTGTTTTGTTTTGTTGCGCCGATAGCGGGGTATGGTTGTGAAGCACCAAGATTGGTGTTACCTTTGAAGGAATGGGAAAAACTTACGTTCGCCGTGTAGGAAACAGTTGTTGAGCTAGCCATGATTGCGGATTTATTATGAGAATATGGAAGAGAGAAAATAAAAGAGAAGAAGAGAGAGAGAGAGAGAGGAATGCTTCAAAAGAAAAGAATCGAGGGTTGTGAAGCGGTATTTGTTGTTGTTGATTTGTTGTTGTTGTTGTGGTGGTTGTTGTTGATAGACTTCAAAAGTCCCAAGAGTAGGGAAGAAGAGTGTGGGGGATTTGGGGAAAAGAGAGAGAGAGAGAGAGAGAGAGAAGAAGAATGACTGAAAGAGGAACTGGGAATGTTTATGTATGTGTTGAATTTTTAATTCACTAGATCTTTGAAAATGGGAATGGAAATGGAGATGGAAATGGAAATGGAAATAGAAATAGAAATAGAAATAGAAATAGAAATAGAAATAGAATTGGCTATGATTGTCAGCGTAGATAAGAGTGGGGACTATCGGCTAAAGGAAGAAGAACTTTGGGATGGATGGATGTTCGACTTTACTGTGTATTATTATTATTATTATTATTATTATTATCTGCAGGCCGCAGACCGCAGACCGCAGACCGCAAATACCTAAGTAGGTTAACTCATAAGTGACAGGGGTCTCATGAAATGTCGAGAGGCGTTGCAATAATAAGTGAATATATATTCACGGCAATTAATTATAAGTAAATCAATAGAGTATTCAGTACCTAATTAGAATGGCCAGAATCAAATCAAGCAAATCAAGCAAATCAAGCAAATCATTAAAATTGGAACGATGACTCTGAATGCTTCTCACGGGCGGAGCAAGAGATACATTGTGGAGGGGCGTGTTGAGCGGGCTTATGAAATTGATGATTTCATATGGAGTAATAAGAGGGAGAGATATCAGGAAAGAAAGATGGATGGATGTATTTACTATATTATATGCAGTGGGATCCTGTATGAGAAAGTTGAAAGAACCTTGGAATTCCCACTCATTGCAATCTTTCATCTTGCTGAATGTATCGTAGAGAATAAATACCAGGTAGATAGATGGATGATAATTATCTGGTATCTGATATCAGATATCAATCTTTTCTTTGTCCCCAAACCCCCATTCACCCATTCACCCATCCACCCACTCATTGCCCAATACCAACCATCAACTAACATTTAATAAATACCATCTATCTAACTTATGTGTAAAAGTGTGTTTGTTACTTGGAGAGTCTTCTGAGACTGTCTCCCCCAGTCCCGTTTATTGACATACCATGTATACAGTCCCTTTGGATACATATCCTCCGTTCAAAGTTACAACTTTTGAGGCATATATTACTCTACTAAAAGATTCATCCTTGAAAGATTCCCTGTCAGTGAGTGTTCTTGTATCATGTATCATGTATCACATCACGTATCTCGTCTGATGGAAAATTATATGTGGTAATCATCTTCACATCACATCTATTAGGATAATTGTTGGAAAAATTGAGAAAGTCTAAAACAAGAAGCGCAAAAATAATAAATGTGCTACTCTTCTTACCTTCTTTCTTTGAATCTCGTCGTTCCCTTTTCGCAAATTGTTCCGCATCGTCACAATTCAGGGGCAATGCATACTATATTAGTCCGTCTACCTAGTACGAGTGTACGAAGTAGTACTCTGTACATCTCCTGGGCCGAGAATGCAAAAAAGTAGTTTGGTCAAATGTGTCCATCCATACAAATTCAAAGGATCTACAAAAGAATTTGATCGGTGGTTCCATCATGCTATCGCTGTCGCCGAGCGGGTTCAAGTATCGTGATTATCATATTTGACTAATCGAGTCAATCAAGTCATTCAAGTCCAATCCCACCCAAAATGATACTATACATATCTTCAAGACCGTACTCCGTACTCCGTACAAGACGGGAGAATCTCTCAGCCAGCTTCCAGCCATTCCATACCGTTCACATGGATGAATTAATTGTCTTACCATCATCTTCAGCCCTTTCGAATGGAATTCCTTTTTTCTGTCCTGATATCTTGTTTCACCACCCAAAAACCACGCAAACAGCGTCTGACAAACCCAGCCAGACATTGCAGATATGGCACCAAAAGGTCTGGTCTCTAGACTCCATCGAACACATACAGCGTGCGTGCATCGTGGGAACTTTGGAAGGTCCCCCACACAAACAACAACATGCACATCTCGCCCAATCGGTCTATAGCCAATCAATAGTAACGTAAAAAGGTTTTTAACCTCCCCCGGTTTATCATTGCCTCTATCTGATACTACCCACGCGCGCACGCTATCACGACCTGAATAGGGATTCATGATTCTCGAGACCAAGCAAAGAGTGGAAATGGCCGAATCCATGGCGTGGCTTTACAAATAGATTGCTTTTTACGGGATAAAGGATGGAGGTTTTGGGATGTTGGGACGATATGATTCGGTTCAAGGTCCAAGAATCCCTTGGTCTGGCCGAGATCTTGAGTAACAGAAGTCATGGATTCTGATAAGAAGGCTAGAATCTGATTGGGTTGATTAAGCCCAGTTCGTAAGCGTCCCATCTAATCATCGATGCCGTCGTCCGATCTCGCCTTATGCTTTTGGTTCAGAATAATAAAAGAATTGATGGTTGGATGAATGAATGAAAAACCAATAGGAGGGAAATACAATTTGTCGGGTTTCATCATGTGATCTACCCTCCCGCTCTAAATTTATCCCATTGGGAAAGTCCTTGAAACTTGAGACATTAATCCGTTTCCCCTTTCATCCATTGTAGATTTCTTTCGTTGCATTCCTCGAAAGTTTATTATCAATGGATTCAATAGTAACATCTTACACCTCACATTTTCTTCTCCTGAATGAAAAACCTCTCAAGATGATACTCTCCGTACTTCATCAGCATCTTGGCAATTGTACCTGAATTACATATACAAATCGGCATCTCCTTCAACTCAGTATCCTACAAGTCGAACATGACAGAACTGCATGTAATTCTATTCGAGGCCAAGCCCCTTTCTGACACCGACTAACAGGCGAGGTCGTACTTCTCGGGCGTGCTCGCGACTCATTTCTTTGTTTGTATATTTGCCTTTATTCGTTACCCTATATTTGTCGGAATCAGTCGGTTTGCAGGTTTCAACGCTTTTCTGTACCTTGATTCACGCAGGTACCAAGACCATCAGCGTGCCATTAGGTCTGGAAAATTCATACCCAATGTTTCGTGGAAGTATCCTTGAAGATTGCTTGGTATTGTTTCTCCAGTACACACACCGTTTTTTCTACATTCATGGCGGTCTGTCGTGGGTTCTCGAGTCTCGATACTTTCAACCTATGTACCGTACGGCGCTTTCATATTGTGAATTTTGAATCGGTGATACCATCCATAGCTACCTTTCGCGAGAATTTCTAGAAACTAGCATGCGACATCTTGTGTTCCACCAGTCAGAACTCAGGGCTCAGGGCAGCCAACGGCTCCATGCTTTAATTTTCAGTTCACGAGTCTCTGATACGATCTCGTATTCCTTTTCTTTGAACTCAAAAATCAAAAGTACGGAATATTATTTCCTCGTACATTACAGTACAACAAATACACCTCCAACTCTGTGAAACGAAATCTGACAGAGTCATTCTCTATAAATAGTTGTTTTCGAACATTTGCATAGTGCGGCTACAAGCGGGTTATAAATGATGTGCTTTGGTATCACATCCACTTGCTACCCCCCCATCCATCGATGGAAAAATGAGGGTCTCCGCTCTCGGATTTCCCTGGATGTGCTTCCCCTCCGTTGATAAGATTGTAACAGGTCGATCCATTCACGTACCCGCCCGCTGTCAATCTGCAAGATCCGACTCGGTAAATGGTTCCGCTCATTCTGGCACGTATTCACGGCTTTAGACAATTTTCGCGTAACGGCAGCTGAAGGCATGGAGATCGAGAACAAACGATTTGTGTATTGAGATGTGGTGGCTGATAGTTAAAGTTTGTTTGTTCATTCTAAATTTAATGACAATGAAATCGGTGGTGGTAACAATCACATCGGTTTTCGACAGCATCACATATTCAATTAGTAGGATATTGTTGAAATCAACCAAATTTTGTCAAGTGAGAGTAGTTTATACGAGGCGATTTTGATGGTGGTGGGACAGAAAATTGAAGCCCTATAATTAAGAATTCATATTCTCAATTCTAGATTACATTTTTCATTTTCCATGGCGAAAATAGCATTATTTCCATCTAGCAAAAATCAACCTGGGAGATCAATACATCTATATCTACTGGGTAGATTTTACTATATATTCATCCATACTAGGTATTCTAGCATGATCAATTCATGTCGATTCTCCTTCGTCTCAGGTGTGTTTATATCTATGCATTTATATATACTATATCTCAAATATAATTTCTAATTTCTAATTTCTACAACCCCATCTTTTAACAAAAACAACACTATAATATTGATAACTTTAAAGTAGCATACTATATTGCTATATGAACATGAATACATATTTATAGAAAATATAGGTGTGAGGATGGAAAATGTTGTGCTTGAAGGGCTTGTTATAGAGGTTGTGTGTATGTGTGTGTATAGGTATGTAGTTCCTATCCAGTTTGAGGCTTTGAGTAGTATTAGATGGAGTGACTAGAGTGACTAGAGTGACTAGGTAGGAAACGAAAAACTTGAAAAGAGGAAGAGGAAGTAAAGTATACTAACTAACTCACTTATTTACTAACTCATGAGTCATCCAGATATACACAATGTATTTGTACAATTCGATACGGAGTTTGAGAGACGGTTTGGATCTTTGAAACAAATATTGTAGAAATGTATAGCTTTCTATATATGTAAATTTTACTTGAGGAGGTAGCTTCCTTTTCCGTGTATGTACTTATGATATGTGAGATATACGATTATGAATATAATATACAGTATGCTGGCTTGGTACTTGGTAAGAATTTGAGATAGAGATGGAGATAGAAAGTTATATATATTTGAAGAAGGAGAATGAAGAACTATGGCTCCTCTTGAATTTGGTTGCTTGGGAGGAAAGATTCTGTCTAATAATTTGTCTACGATATACATACCCTCCCTACTTATATCTATCTGAAAAGATTTGATCAGAGTAGTTAGTTGCGCATAGTGAGTTTTACATAGCTACCAAATTTCTTAATTTGTTTGACTCTGGCGAGGATTTGATGACTTGTTAGTTCGTGTTGATTGGGGTGGTAATTTGAGTAGATATATGGTTGATATTCTTCGCTTTACCTTCATCGCTTTCGACGATCCGATGTCAATCTGATACAGTACTGTACTCTCTTTGTCTCCTCTTCTATCTAGAATGTCGATAATATCGAAATTCTCCTTGATGGTAACAAAATCATCAGCATCTGTCTGCATTTCATTGAACATCTCACGCAACACTCCGACATCAAACTCGGATGGCTCGAAAATACCCCACATAGTTTGGCAGATTGGTGTTGAATCCCAAAGTAAATGAGACCTCTGAGTTTGGTTCATCGTCGACCTAGTTCTGTTTTCTGGACGAATCGAAGTGTAGGTGGATGTTGGAATTGAGAGGGCTTGGAGATAGAGTGATGTGTGCGAAAAGACATTTCGCGATGGGAATCGATGGTAACTTGAGAGGTGAAACTTTACAAATTGAAGGAAGACCGTATGCTGATTGGGAATCTTGGGGCTATCATGTCCGATATCGAAACGGGGAGCTGGGAGTTTGATGTTATAGGGACCCTGGAAATCTCCATCGAGATATTTGTGCGCAATCTTCATGGGGCTAGAATCTAGATGCTACAAAATTTGGAATGGGCAGATGACTTGAGAAGCAGTGGGGAGGGAGGATAGATCTTTGTAAGGAAAATGTTAGGGGGGAGAGGTTTTTTGGACTACCATATAAACAACCAAACTAATGCAACATGTCACTCGAATAGACAAATTCACACAGCGACAAACTATTACTTATCCAGTAAACAATTTCATTGCAGAAACTACGGAATGACTAATGAAGCATACAAATGAGCGTGCTCTTGCGGGTGATTTCGCATGTTCAACTTTCATCGTGTAATTCAACTTTAATAGTTCAGTATTTCCATTAGAAAGAGACCATTCGATTAACAAAAAATGAGAGTATGAGACGGTTCATCCTCCACATCTCCACGTCTGCGCACAAGCACAAGCACTCAAGCAGAGCTTAATTACAGAACCCAAGTAATTTAGAGTGGCGTGGCCTGCATGTCCACCAAAGTTCTGCATGCCAAGCTACCAGAGAGACTGGGTCTGACCTCCTCAGTTTTCTTGTACCAGCTATTGTTAGAGTAGTCGATCTGTGAGCCGGCAACCGGCTCTTCATACCAACGTTGAGCTGTAGTTACGTACTCCTTAGCGGGGAGTTGGCCTATTGTCACTAGCAATGTGGCCTTATACCTGGTCTTTGCGGGTGCGTTGACTGTTTGAGTGACATTCAAATCGACCGTCTTGGTTGTACTTCTTGTCGAAGTATCGGTTCGGGTGTACGAATAACTAAGCGATACTGACCATTGAGTAGAAGATGTTGCGACACCTTCCGCCCCGGTAGAGAAGGTTTGGGAGAATGATGACGTGATGCCTGCCACGTGTTGATCTGAAGTTTCCACAGTGACGGTTTGTGAATTCGAATTGGTAAGTGAGACAGTGACGGGCTGTACCTCGGTACTGTTGTTGACTCCTTCGGAGATAGAGGTGAGCCCTGAGGTGTTCGCTGCACTGCTCGCCATGATGTTGAAAGGAGCGATAATCTCTTTCTTGGGAACAACTCTGTCCCATCGGAAAGAGCTGATGCAATCGTTAAAGCAGACTTCCCACATGAATGGGACCTCTTTTATATCGCCCCAGCCCTTGACGTTGTCGTACGCAGTGCCGCCACCCCCTTCGGCATCATACAGTGTAACTGTTTGCCGATCTCCAAGTGACTTCCAGCGGACTACAAGATAGGATTAGTTAGTAATTGCATGTTGAAAGGAGTGCTTGCAAAGATAATATGGAATCGAAGATGTCCGCAGACAAAAGAAAATGCTAAAAATGAGATATAAAATGAGAGTAAAAAAGTGAGAAATGTAATCCGGGTATGAGTGCAGGTTATGTATCTATGAAACTTACGTGAGGAGCAGGTATTATTCATTCCCCAATTTCTGAACGAATGGACCATTCCAGATTCCCATTCGCCCAGGAAAATTGTAGTACGTCTGCCGGTGAAGTTGCCATCGGCGAAGAGCTCGACGGCACCAATGCTTAGATCAACATTTCTCCAAAAGAACATGGATATGTCAGCACTGATACCACTAGTCCACAGTTCACATCCTTCCGTTGTTCCGGTACCCACAAGATCAAGGCATGTATTGCCATAGCTTAGATCGACGACTTTTTTTCCGTCCTCTCCTGGAGCCCAGCCACCAATTAAAGTGACTACCGCACCGATTGGTAAGTTCCACAATACATTACTGGTCTTATCTAACTGGGCATCTGGGACTACATGACGCTTGTTGGGAGTGTAGTCATTGAGGCGAAGGTCGGACCTCGTACCGCGGTAGTTGGGATCCTGATATAACGCCACTGTCCCAGTGGGAACTTGATATGGAACGCCATAAGCAGCCAGTTTGGTGAGGTCTTGGACTACTTGAGCAGGAGTTCGAGGTGGGATATTGAAAAGCTTAATGATGTGTGAATGTGTGTGTAAATGTGTGATGAAACCAATGTAAGAAGAGCTGCTGAAGCAATAGAGTTTAAAAGCGCAGAGACTTTCATTCTTCTTATGGATAATTCTCCGCGAGTAAGGTATTAATTTCTTTCACAAGAGTCCCATTATATCCCATCGTTTCTCATGATTTTTAACTGATCTGCGCTGTGTTCAAACGCCTCCAATACTTTTTGCCTTGGCCCTGTATAATAGACGGCATGGATCTCCGATTACATGAGGGGGGGTTTTGATAACACAAGCAGGAGACTGCCTGAGCCGTCAGAAGGCTGTGTGTGAACCTTGGACGGCCGTTTGATGAATTGCAATTATCGAATAGATTAAACGAACCAAGCGAAGATCTTTCTGGCTACTCGAATGGCAGGTGGAAGCCACGGAGCCAGGATGAAGGCAAAATCATTCTGGCGAGTCATGAATAGTGCGATGATCTTACTATAAAACACAGTATATGCAACAGCCACCAATTTCAGTAATATCACGGGCATCATCCGAAGCAATCGAACTAAAGCAGCACAAAACTCCCATCTTTGTGGGTTGCATTTCTAGCCACTTACCAACCAAAGATCATCGGCTAGCCACTAGCTTTTCAGGCAAATTCACCATGACTACAGGTCTTTCACTGCACATGAACTTGTCGAACTCTGTTGCAGAATGCGCCCAGTCCCCAGTGAAGGACAGCCAGCGCATCAGTTATGCAACATACACTTGAACATTGTTTTGTTGGTGTAGCCTCGACAATGATTATGGTATCTTCATAGTATTCGTATTGTGGTTATTGATTTTGTATGTTTCTTCTAGGTTTGTAGCTACTAGAGTTATATGCAATATCGTTGCCGTTGGCAAGAATTTCATGTTCTGAAACTTTTGGATCTTCGCGCAGGAAAGATGGGACTAACCTTCTCGGGCTAAGAATTCGATCTGCGAGGGAACCCCAAAGTTTTTACCCCAAAACATCTGCATGTTGCCTGAAAGAATACACTCGCAGAAGTGATAATTCAGTCTAACTATCGGCGAATCGGTTCCCGGATAGAGCAATCAATGTGTGGTTGCACTAGGCGGGGAACCATGACCTTTCAAGACAAGCCGGCCTTTAACGTGGCTTCCCATTTCAAGTTGAGTGATACGCGATTGTAAATTTGGTTACCGCATATTGAAACTGTATGATTCCTCTTTGATACCTAACTCCAACTTTCCTTGTGAGACTTGCATCCTCTGCTACACGTTGTGATGCAAAATCAAAAGCGATCAAGGTACTCAATCAAACAAATTGTGGCCATATAATGAACAGCATGAAAAGCAGTACTCGTTCAATTTCATCTCATGCTACTAGGTGGAGATGATAATGCTACTCAGAATATATAGATTGGCTCGAGTAACACATAGGAGATATGGACCCCAAACTTCTGGGAAATTTCTGTCAATCGACCAAAATGGAAGAAACAATGCGAATGAAGTATTAGGAGCAGCTTCTTGCTGAACTTATAGATAGCTTTTTTATCATCATGTTTTATTTTACAGATGTCTTCGCACTCTAGTAAAACAAGGGATTTTATTTGCTGAAAAAGCCCAACCCAAAAACCGCCATCTTTGTAATAACCATAGTACTCGTATCTAAATAAGATGCTTTGATCTGTTCCCCATTTATTAGCATCAAATAACGTTTCTATGACAATTTCAAAAACATACCTGAAATACGCCCTCAAGTAGATAATCTGCCAAGCTCCCAGTGATACCAACATTCCCATAGTTCCAAATGCAAACCATTTCACTCTGTTATTCGTGCTCTCATTTGTATCTCTCAATTTCTGTTCTCTGTGTCTAAGGTATTCCATTTCCGTAACGATCTCTGCCACCATTTCCTCGATGCGCCGTAATTCGGTTTCGACTGGCTTAAGTTTCTCTGTAGCTTGGACGGCAGACCAATCTTTGGCATCGGCTCCAATATCGATATCGAGTTCAACGTGACGGCGGGGATTGTTAACACGGTTTGCTAGATGTAGTTAGTACTGGCTGCGATGAGATTGAAGAAAGGGCGGCAACGAACAGGCTGTAAAGTAATTGTAGAAGCAAACATCAAATGATGCATCGGCGTGAGATGTGAAAGCCATTCTCTTTTCGCCTACAATATCCTTTGGTTTTCCGTATTCATTTCCAACAGCATCTTTAATCTATCCTTCGTGTCAGCATGTGGCTAGACCTTCTTCGACCAATTGCATTAAACGTACATGCATATCGACTTGCATGCCATCTCCCTTTGAACCATCAATGGTAGCAGTAACCACAACTAAAGTATCCTTGGCCACAAAATTCCTGATACATCTCTCTGCCTTTTTGTCTCCTTTGTGATAAGCGTCAATGTCGAATTTCAGTGCTTCCGCAACTGCTAGTACCAGAAAGAAACTGCAAAGTGCTTGCAGAAATGACCTTGTGTATGCCATGATGTGTAGAAGCCGAATCGATTGAGTGAAAAACAAGGGGCTCCGAAAGATATGTGTAAATGGAGCTCTCGAAACTCAAGAACCAGATTGCGGTAATCCAAAGATTTAGACGACGTGTAAGCTTCGGGGTACTGTGCAGGGATGTAAAATCTTGAGTCACGTGCTATCGAAGTTTGAACTTCAAGATTTGGATTTGGGCATCTTTGGACTTTCAATTTCAACGACAATAGCAACACTTGAGATATTTATTACCGCCAAAATGCCAAAATGTAAGTTTTTGAACATCTGCGATTCTGGTATATATGCTAACTACTCTCACAGTCTTCTGTAAGTTTAAAATCATCGCGCCGTGCAACTTGCGATCATTCGAGCTCTATCTCCATCTTCGCGAACAGCTTGCTAACACATCTTTAAAGGCGATTATTGCGATGTCTACCTCACTCACGACTCGATGAGTGTACGTAAAGCTCATAACAGTGGACGTAATCATTTGCGCAATGTTGTCGATTATTATCAACGTGTGTTTCTCCCGCTCCATAATCACCAAATTATAAGTAAACTAATCCCTTGTCCTAACCTTAGAAATCGGCCACGAAAAAGCCCAATCCGTAATCGACTCCATCACATCTTCCTATGCCGCCGAAGGTCAATCATCTTCGAATCCCATGCTCCACAACCCAGCAGCTGCGGCACCTTTCCCACCTTTTCCACCCGCCAATTTCCCTGGAGGCGTTCCACCACCCTTCCCTCCATCCTCTGGTCCAGGTGGTATGCCATTCCCTTTGCCAGGCGCAAGAGGCTTCCCAATGCCTCCTTTACCTGGACAACCTGGTGCACCACCTATGCCACTATTCCCAGGTATGCCTGGTATGCCTGCTGGAATGCCATTTCCTCCTCCAGGCGGCTTACCACCTAATTTCCAATTCCCAGTTCCCCCACCAGGGGGTTTCCCAGGAATGCCGCCGCCAGGTGGTCAAGGGTTTCCGGGTATGCCTCCACCAGGGGGAAATCGGGATGAGAGAAGATAGACAGATAATGGTATATGTTTAGAGTTGAGAACTGGAGAGATGATATGGACTTTGGCGTTCAGGGTTGAATTACTGGCACGTACGTTATTAAGGATATTCATCATGCGGATGACTTGTTTCGTGTTCAAAGGATAGCAGAATGAGAATGTGGGCAGATTGATTCGTTCGATGAATAGGAATTCTGGAGACTGACATCGAATTCTAGTCATGGTCATGCAAATTATTAAACAGCGCGGTACCGCAGGAAAATACTGGAGTTGGGAGAAATTGTACTATTATGGTTGAAACACATACGACATCACAAAGCAAGTAAAAGAATGAAACGTTTTTCACGTCAAGAATGTCTAGTTGGCATTTCTACATGTGCTTTTATTGTTTGGATGGTGATACAATCAACTATTTAGAAGTCTATCATCACTGACCACATTGTTGTTATCTGGCCAGCATTGAACGCTGAACAAAACCTAATTCTGAGCATATTCTTGGCCTTTTCCTAAATTCAATGTTTCGATATAGCATTTGTTGTTTTGGAATCCATGTTGAATACATCATAATCTCTAAACCATATCAAAGTAATGCTTCCTTATTTTATGTTCCACCTACATCTTCATGCATCTTCAAAACAAGCGGATGTTGAAGACGTCGACTTTTAGGGATTGACAGAAATGTGATACAATACAATTTGTAGCTCATGTGGCTTTAATACAAGTGAGCAACCGCAAAAACTAACATCTACATCCCTCTCCAAAATCCACGCATTCCTATCATTCCCCGAATTTGATTTCCAATTTATACGGGTCTAAGTCAAACTCACCAATCAGATCGCATAGATGGTGCGGTCTGGTGGTAGAGTGGTAAAACGCCAAGATCTAAAGACTAAAAATATCCTCGCGGGGGCTATTCTCCTGCTAACTAAGGGGTTAGTAAGGTTTTGCATGTCCTTTCATTATATATATTTTTTGCATTCTGTTAAAGGCAGCTTGAAGACTTGATGAAGGTGCTTTTTTTTTTTTTTTTTTTTTTCGCGAAAATTACATTGAGTTGGTTGGTTGTTGGTTTGATTGTTGCTGGTGGACGCGAGGCGCAGTGAATATATTGTGGGGCGTTCATGGTCATCATAACGATGAAGAAAGACTAGATGGATTTTTCGCACACTTTATACGACTGGTGTCAGTACCTCGGATATCAATGGGGAAAAATGATTTATCTCTAAGATGTCGATTGCCTGGGTGTTCGAGACATGAACCTCATCACTAGCACAGCATGAGTGAATGTTAATTTCAACCTCCTCACAGCTCACCTCAATTTGTCACAAAGTAGATAGGATCACAAGGGTTTGTGCAATTCATTTTACCATTAACACCACTTCATCAATCCAAACCAATTGCCTCCTCGCACGTGAGACTCAAGAAATATAAATCCAAGTTGTAAAATCTTAGGGATAAACAAAAAGACACGAAGATTCCACCCGAATGAGAAAGTGGAAGGACAGAAAAAAGGCATAGAAATTACAGAATACGTGAAGAACACATGGACAGTATGATTCCATCTATCTCGGGTATTGCATCATGAGTTGAACTTTCAAAGATGAGAACGATCAAATTGAGAGGGGTTGCGTATTGAAGAAGAATAGGAAGTTGGGCGTGAACTCAAGGCCTCACCCAGGCTGATGATAAGTGTCAAGCAGTCATTACTCTCGCATCGTCCGATTGATTCTAGTTTCACATTATATTTCATCTACACCTCGATCTGAGCGATTGAAAATTGACTTCATAACCTCACAGTCTTGCTGTATCTCAGAGCATTGAAAGATGCTCAGACAAGGTTTTCCTAATCGATAAGGACGTAATCGCTATAATGATGATAGATGTATTAAATCATTTTACTCAGAAGTAAATACTCTCCTATATCTATACTCTTCTTTTCAGAAATCACATCCTAAGAAAAAACTATCACATTCATTTGTGTATTCATTTAAAGACTCAGTATATAAAACAGCACTTATAATTTAAATTTCAAAACTAAATTTCAAATAAAGGAACGACTTCCGTACATGTATTGCCTAGCTTATTTCCATCTCACTCTTCTTCTATCCCCTGTTCTACTCTTCTGTCCCCCCTCTTTCCCTTCATGTCACCCGTCCTATCACCCTTCTAGTCTATGATCTCCAACTCATCACTTAAATCTTTCCAATACCAGCGTTCTTAAGAACATTGGCCTTGGTGGTTGTGACATCAGCAACAGCAGCAAGAGTCAATCCCTTTGCAACTTTCAAGACATCAGTGTTGGTTCCAACGAACGACCCGGATGCGACAAGGCTGTTAGAAACGCAGTTACGGCCAAGGATCGAAGCACATCCTGCAACACCACTGCTTGAAGACCAAAGAGGGTTGTTGGGAACGTCGAAGATGGTGGGTGTAATAACTTTCTCGAAAATGTTGCCCTCAGCAAGGACCTTTGCTCCCTCGCCAATTTGGAATGCGTTTCCTTCTGCGATATCTGACCAGTAGTTGTTGGCAGCTTGGAGAAATACATTTGGTGCGACGGATGAGTGCAAGCCTCCAACCTTGGGTCCACGACCACTGGTGTTGTGGATGTAGTTGCCCTTGAAAGTAACAGTGTCTTGGGATCCAGTGAAGTAGAGTATCCAGTAATGACGGTTGTTGCATTTAGCAGACCAAAGAGTAGTACCATCAAACTCAGAGTTGGAAATGGTAACACGGTTGGAAGCACCTGGTCCCATGGTGATGAATTGACGACCAATTCTGGATATCTTGACGTGATCGATCCACAAAAGATCGGTGCCATCAACGGAGATAGCATCTCCACCCCAAATGTACTTGGGATTCATCTCGACGAACTCAACGTTCTGGATGATAATGTTCTTAGCACCTGCAATGTAGAAACCTCTACCCTTGATCTTTCCAAGAGATCCAGAACCCACAATGGATTTGTTGGAACCGAGCTTGATAGCATTTGGAGGAATACCGGCGACATCGTAAGTAACGGTTGGCTTGGGAAGAGTTGGATCAGCATTTCCAGACTGTTCACACCAGCCATTGATATCGATTGAATCTTGTCCTTCATCGTTTTTACATGTATTTGAGCGAGGTCTGCAGCCCAGCTCAGATTTTGTTTTCATAGAGTTTGTGAAATCCCAGGTTTTGTCAAGAACGATGGTACGGGGAACACTATCGGTGAGCCAGTTAACAAGCTCTTCGATGGTTTTTGGGGATGCAGGAGCAGCATTTCCACCTCCAGTGGCTAGAGCAGCGAAACCTTCAGCTTTGCCAACGACTCCTGCGGCATCAACTGCGATAACAGAGAGCATGAGGATAGCGAGGGTTCTGAATGAAACCATGATGATTGATTGAAATGAAGTTATTGAGATAACTTTAGAGGAGGAGCTTTGATGATTGATTTGCTTGAATGTAAGCTGTGTTATGAGAACGAATGGATGAGTAGATGAGTTGATGAGTGATGATGTTAAAAACTTCGAGACTTTCGACGTCCTTATATACCATTGACCACCTGATCATGTTGTCCAGAACTTCATCAAGAGTGGGACATTATCCCCTCCAAGATCTCTATCTCGTAACGCATTCTCTCAACACGAGAGAAAAAAGGGTTTCCATAAGCCTCACACTTGGCGGATAGTCACTCCGTCCACTGCAAATAATATACTTGACTTTGTTCAAACTTTAGATAGTGAGTATTATTTCCCAGAAATGCTTGGCCATATCACTCCTTTTCCTGCTTAAAATGTAACGCATATTCGAATTCATAACCATCAGCCCACAGAACGAGAAAATTGCCAACAAAGGAGAGCTCTAGGTTTCCTTGGCGACAAAATTGCTTGCATGCTCATGGTAGAGCATGTTCGCAATCGCTTATTCATCTCAATTGACCTTCGAAAACATTCGATGATCAAGTAACATCCTCGAATATTCTTGTGAAAATTGAACCGTCCTATCTTCCTCGTCCATTTGCCTTTCAACTCCGGACGAACTCAGCAATATTCTGGAATGCTCCTCGATAGTACCGGTAGTTTATGCTTTTGAGGCGTTTTGAAAGTACGAAGTTGGTTACTTCAATAAGGATGGCTGACACAAACCCTCCAAAGGAGAATACCCATGCGAAAATTAATCTTTCTTCAACCCAATTCTAATTACTTTTGTATCTTATAAGACTTAAGGTTATTATGCATTAAAGAGCTAACTTTAAGCGAGCTCAAGTGGCGATCACTTAATGCCCCGTGTAAGGACCCTTGTTATTAGTAAGCTTCAGAGTGCATACCTACTCATTTATTAACCTCAGGATGCCAAGTCCAAGGGACAGTTCCGTGGCCATGGTGTGACCGCCCTCCAATCAATAACATCATAGGTTATGTCCATTTGCCGTTTGCCGCTTGCCGCTTGCCGCTCTGTGAGGGTATCCCGGACATCAAACGAGTTCCTGAGATGTTTGAATCGAGTTCCATTCAGCAAACATGGGGGGGGGACCGAGGGTGGAAGGTGTGTACCTATCCACGTTTCGACATTGATCACATGACTTGACTAATCATGATCTTTATGCCCAACTCAGGGCTTGTTCGGATCGATTTTATTTTTATTTGATGAAATCTCTAATAATGATAAAATGGCAAGGGTATTGAAATATTGAAGCTAATATATTTAGAGTAATATTGGAAAATGTACGAAATTAATTGAAAATGAAGAAGATATTGCTTTTTCTTAAATATATTCGCTCTATAATATCTTAAAAACTATTGTTAACTATTATTATATGAAAAAAGTTGAGATAAGTTGATGTATTTATTATTACTTTAAAATTATTAGACCTAATATTTTATTAGATTCAATATTGTGTTCGATAAATGCATTTATTTGAGCTAATATATTGAATCTAATGTCGAAAAAAATCGATTCGAACGCGCCCTCAAACTTACATCTAGTCTATGACAGGAACACTGACATCCGATTTCGTAGAGCCAAGATCAAGATCAAAGACTGATTAAATAGTAGATCTAAATCTCGAATCAAAATTCTATCTTGCCAATCAATAACAGTCAGTCAGTATATACCTATTCAAGAATCCAGAATATAGATGAACAAACACTCATAGTTTGAACTCCAAAAGCCCGAGAGGTGGTGAGTCATTCACACTTTATCAATTGATTCCCTTCTCCTTCCCCCCTTCCCCCCTTCTATATTAATTCCTTGAGGATATACTATATTATTTTCGAAGATATACTTCATCTACTTTTCTGAGGATATACTCCTTCATAGAATCAATCACTCCCTACCTCACTAATATTAATCCACTTATGATTTCTCTGATTCCCTTTCTTTCATTCATTCCGATCAATCATTCTCTTTTTCATTCATTCAAATTTATTTTTCTATTCTTATTATTTTCTTATATCTCTCTCACATTTCACCGATTTACATTTATCAAAATTTGTTTTTCCCTCTTACATTCCTATTTCATTAATAAAATTCATTCAAGATTATTATAAATTCATGATAATTTAGATTATTGTAGATGACAGTTATAGAAAATACTATCGTGATTTGCTCATTTGAATTATTTAGTATTCTCATCGAGACATAAAGGGGACATTCTTCTTCGAGTGATGAAAAAATTCTCATTAAACTGTATTTTAACAAAAATAAACTATTTTTTCTACATTCTTTTTTACTTCAATATAGATTTGACAAACTATTAGTTAAGTAAGAGTTCATATCAAAATTAATCGTATACCTTCATTATCTCATACGAATATAAAAATATCAAAATCCTGATTAGATAGGGATTCTTACTAAAGAGAGATCTCATGATGAAAACCATCTTCATCTTTCATACAGACTCAAGTTTTAGACCGGTTATTAAAGTAGGTCGAGTATTCTATGAACTTGATGGTCTCATCTTTTAGTCTTTTTAGTGCTGCTCTAACACTTCTATTGTGACAATACATTTACTTCTCCCAACTTATTCGCTATCGAACCTCTTTCTTAATCTCCCTTGTTTCGATCTTGACCAAATCCTAATGTAATTTTCTTCTTCTCCTTGAGGTCTCTAATATCATCATTGCCTCTATTCTTTATGCTTTGATTGATTTCTACTATAATAGCATTCATTCATACCTCCACCGAATCCAGTAGCTATTTTCTTTCATCCCTCATCCCCTTGTGAAACACTTACCACAGAATCATATAATGCTCATCTATCAACAAACACCTGATTAATAGCATATATGAATTGTGACAAGCTTAAATCTTGATATATAACATTTTGTATCCTTCCTTTTTCGTCCCCCAAATCCGACACTTTACGGTGAGTACTCCGTGGCAACCTTTTATGTCAACACACTCCTAATCAAAGTCTAGGCTTGATCTGAACTCGGTTGCACTTTGAAAATGATGTCTTATCAATCTGCGGTGGGTAGTCCATGGTAATAGAGGCTGTATATACGATAGGTGTAACTTGATTTACACTGGGATTGAATATTATATTTATGGTAGTAAGTTATTGCCTGTTTACCTTTCAAGAGCTTTACGGTAAGAACCCAGCTTTAAGAAATTCACATTCATATTCTGTATGTTCCACATTTAAAATTGTCATTATTTATATCAGCTTATTAAAGTCAAGCTTCTTGAGTGTATCCACAACAGCAAAGCTCGGAGTTCCTACTGTAGCGCTGTACATTCTAGAAATACTACAAGTCTTAGTAGCTCGATTCCATGCTTAATTTTCTTTAGTATGAATATTTATCTAGATTAGATATGTTGCGGTAGGCACTCCATCAGTCTACGGGAGTGCGGTTAGATTAACTCTGGATCGGTCGGAATTCGTATATATTTTCTCTCTCTAGGAAATGAAAATGAATATAAGAGTTTATTTTGAAGTTTCTTTCTACTCATGTTCTCTCGGCTGTACCTTCAGAGTCTGCATATTTGGATGAAGAATAAATTGAATTATATAAGCCTTGGATGGCATGAGTACTTATCGGAAGCTCATACATAGTTCCACTTGAGCAATATATATCTTATTTGTGTCCAAGTAGATGCGTAGATTTTTGAACGAAGATCTATCCTCGTTATCAAACCGCTGTGGGATACCAGCCATGGTTCACAATTGTGATATACTATCATAATACAAGTTTTATTATCTGCATGTTATTTTCCTTTCAAATATATACATTGACTTTTCTACCCATAGTTCATCCCGACTGCAATAATTATTGAGTAGAGATTATAATATTTGATAATCGAGATATTAACTCATCTCATATCCGCAGATTTGTGAATAAATCTTCTTCATTTATTTCTTACCTCTTTATTTTAAGCTCTTACTTAAGCTACGGATTTACAATCTCGCAGCTTTACAGGTTTGCAATCTCATAATTTTACCGTCTAACAGGCTCAGATCTCACCTTCTTTCATTCTGATTGTTTTGCAGCCTCGCAGGTTTACAGTTTCACATTTTTTCGGTCTGAATGTTCTGCAGTGTCATAGGTTTACAATCCTACATTTTTTATACACACTAACAATTCTGCGGTCTCACTTCTATTGTCTTTGATTAGATCTTATCCAAGGATAATCGACTAATCGTCAAGGGATGTTTCGAGAGATTTTTATTCATTATCATTAAGTAATAATAAAGGACCCTATCTATAATACTAAAGCACAGCTATTTACCGAACACTAAAATTACACCAAAACTCATATAAATCATTTGTATTTTATTAAATGAATATAATATATATACTAATAAATTTTATATTAACTTATTTAGTTTCATTTACAATTTAAGAAAAAAAATATCATTTATTTTTAAGATTTTTATTTATTAAAAGATATATATAGAAAGTTAATAGAAATTAAAAATATTGAAATTTGTTAATAAAATAAGCGAAAATCAAGAACTTTTCTTTTGATATTAATTTAATCTTATAAATATTAGTATATATTCATTTTAAAATGATACAAATCTAAATAATAAATTCTTTGTTATATAATAAAATTACATTCAATATTTTGATTAAATTTAATGATTTTAAATATTTCTTTTTTATAATAATAAATAGAGCAAAAGGCCTATTTTTGGTATGATTTTTGAAACTAACGAACAGCTGTACACGGTTACTATAAGTAGTTAAAATCTTGATTCTTTACCTTCGTATTGAAAATGCGAGGAAGTATACAAAAGAGGGGCTAGACGTATTACAATATACAAGAGAAAGCATACATGTATGAGGCAATCATCGACTAGTAATTTCCGAGGAAGGAGCTAGACTCATAGTGCGGGGCATAGTATAGAGTGGATTATGACAAGGTTTCAGTTATAGATCTGAATGTT